CAGCAGCCGCGTGAGCGGCTACAGCCAGGCCAGCAGTTGGAAACCACATGCCACTCTGCGGGAGACAGACAAGGCTTTCTACTCCCGTAAAGAGTGACAGGCCGGAAGCCCACAGGGGCACTTGTCCCCCTGTGCTATGGGGTGATCTGAGTCTCCATTTGATGGGAGGGAGCTGTTTGTTTGATCTGGTCAGGCCCTCCTGGGGCCCCAGGGGTCTAACTGCCCTTGAGCAGAGATCCAGGAACAGAAGCATGGAGTCCTGGCCAAGGGAGGCCCACAGCCCACTTCACCTTGTGATGCCATTCTGTGGGATTAGCCCTCCCGGAAGAGTCCCTTCTGTGAGTTCAGACCCAGCCACTGCACCAGCTGCTCAGTTCATTGGTTTAAAATCTCAACGTAGGGATTTCGATGTCACGTGCTTAGTAGGCTATTGCTAAGTTGTGCTCTGTCTCAGTTCTTTCCTCTAACTGTGACCCTTTGGTCCCGGGACCTGGGGTGGAGTCACATCCCTGTGGGCCTGAGACTCCCCTGGGGCCACGCCTGCAGGTGGGGTGAATCATCTGCGGCCACCGAGGCGATCACCCGCCAGAGGGAGGAGAAAAGTCACCCTAATTTCCTACTCCAGAGAAGTTCTCTTGACCACACTGGCTGGGGCAGGACCCAAGGGGGTGGGCATCTCCACAGAGTCCCTTGTGGGTCTCAGCAATCATTGCGTCGACCCCCGATTCCTGGAACCACCCGCTGCCTGTGCCTGCACCAGCCCGTGAGCAGTTGTGACGATGACCGTGGGGTTTACGTTTAAGATCCACCAGGCCTTCCCAGTGCGCCTTAGCGTCATAGCGGTCGCTACACATGGCTCCCCGGGCAGCTGGGAGGTGGCTGCCCATGAGAGGCTCGGGCTGGATCTTTCTCATGGACGGCAAAACGTTACCCTTGCAGGCTCAGCTGCATCCCAAAGGTCGGCCAGTCAGTTCCCCCAGGTGTGCTGAGAATTGAGGCTGACATCGACATCCAACAACCAGGCCTTAACACCCCGGGGAGCCCAGCCCAGAGAGGCTCATCATATGTCACCATGGACTCCATGGCAACAGGTTACAGAGCCCCCAGGAGGGTCTTCGTGACCCTCTGTGCTCCCACTTGGCTGTTCCCGAGCCAGCAAATCCTAGTGAGTGGTGCCATCGAGCCATTCCGCCCACCCCCCCTCCCGTTTCTGTCCTCCCAAGACGGCTACTCACAGATGTTCACAGGTCCGACGCCCTCGCCGGTGAGTCTGTTGCAAGTTGGGAGAGAAAGGGACACTCATTGCAGGCAGTTAGACAGCCCTGGTTCCTCGAATCCCCACCACTGTCAGCCCTGGTGCTTCTGGGGGTCAGGGCCAATGCTAAGGCTTTCATGCACGATTCTCATTCACCTCACCAGATTTAGAATGCTCGTGTGAATAGATGGTGGGAAACCTAGAAGCAGTCAAGTTAAAATACAGAGACCGACAGGCTGAGGGGCCCATGCTAGGCAGAGCAAGCCAGGTCGCTAGTTTAAAGCACATCCCTGGGAGCACATGCGCCCCTAGGGTGCATCTTGTCCCAAGTGTGATGTCATCTACGAAGGGGTAGCCAGAAATGACACCGATTAGGGCCTGCCGGGCAGCCATGGTCACCACTCCCAAGCCTGGGCTCTGGCCCCCTATCCTGAGGGTGGGGCTTTAACTCAAGGCCACATCTATGGGGGCAGCTGTGTGTGAGCCCAGTGTTAGGGATTTCTACCTTTGGGGCCTGGCATCATGCTCCCCCCACCACCACGTGGGCCCTGGGACACTGCTTTCTTGGTGCTCTGGGGGCCTCTGCTGGGGTTGGGGGACAGAGGTGCAAGCACGCACCGGCACTCCTCGCCCTCCAGCAGCTTGCGGTAGGTGGCGATCTCGATGTCCAGGGCCAGCTTCACGTTCATCAGCTCCTGGTACTCGCGTACCATCCGGGCCATGTCCTGCTTGGCCTTCTGCAGGGCCTCCTCCAGCTCGGCCAGCTTGTGCTTGGCGTCCTTGAGGGCCAGCTCCCCACGCTGTTCTGCGTCCGCAATGGCGGCCTGGAGTGCAGCACACTGCAAGGAGGAGGCAGGAGCGGGGGTCGGCCACAGAGGGTACTTACAGAGTGCCCTAGGTGCTGGGCACACCCCTGGGGGCCGGGGTGGGGGTGGGGGCTCCGGAGGTGGATTAAAGGCCAAAGAGTTGAGCCAGTGGCATGTTAAAAGTGAGCATGAAGCTCAATGATGGCAACACATGTACAAATGTGCTTGATACAACGGATGGATGTACGGATTGTGATAAGAGCTATAAGAGCCCCCAACAAAATGATTTTTTTAAAAAATCGAGCCTGGTTACACCTTGGAGACACCGCCTGGATGGAGCACTCAGGATCCTGAGCCCCTTAGTTGGGACGGATTTCTGTGGGCAATCAACATGTTTGTCGCTGTTGCCTCTAGGGACCGACTGTGGATGCTGACTCAGGAAGAATGCCCTGCAAGGCCCTGTCCGGATAGGGGACCACACAGTGACCATCCAGACCTGGCAGTCCTTGAGGATGGCTTCGCTCTGTGTGGGGAGGCGTGGCCAGGCCCGGTCTGCGGGGTCGTGGCCCGGGTGGGTCCTTCCTGCTCAGCCCTACCTGCTTCTTGAGGTTGTCAATCTCGGAGCGCAGCCTCTGGATCACGCGGTTCAGCTCGGAGATCTCCATCTTGGTGGTGCGGAGGTCGTCCCCGTGCTGGCCCGCGGACCGCTGCAGCTCTTCGTACTGGGAGAGACGCAGGTCTTGAATGAGGGACCCACCAGGCAGGAGGGGGCGGGGATGGTCAGGGCCGGGGAGAGGGGGCTGGGGCTCCCTGCGGCCCCATGGGCGTCTCCCTTCTTTCTGGAGCGTGGCGCTAACTCGAAGGCTCCGGGGAGATGACGGAAAGATTCTATCCCAGCAACTCACACACACGACCCCCTACACACACACACCTGCTTACACATCCCTGGGGCCCCTCATGCTGTGGCTTCTGCATCCATGCCTTCTCATTCTCTCCTGCTCCCCTGTCCCCCCGGGTAGGTAAAATGTCCCCATCACATCTTGAGCATAATCACACCGGCTCTGTCGCCCACAGGGAAGCAGCTCAGCTCCAAGGCACTTCTAGGCAGGCTTTGAAAGGCTGGCTGGAGACCACCTGCCGCCCACGCTCTCCCCGCAACCCTCACCCACGCCGAGGCCTGAGCAGCCTTCCTCTGTGACAGCGCCCCCCAGCTCCGACCCTCACTGTCCGCCTCCACAGCCCAGGCTGTGTGCACGCTTCCTCCCCATGTCCAGCCCCTCCTCCTCTCCCTCTACACCACGCCTCTCACACTGCCCATTATTCGCTGACTTTTCACCTCTCTGTTTTCCTGTCCTCCCTACCTCTCTCCATGCCCCCGGACTCCCCTGGGAATGCGCACTCTGTGGCCCAGGCCAGACCTCTCCCCGTGCTTCCTGGCCGCATTGGAAGCCCACCTTGGTCCCTCCTCGGGCAGCCATTGCTATCTCTCTTCTCTGGGTCACTTAGCTCGTCCGGGAGGCCAAGCCTCTCTCCACACCCCTCTGTCCTTCCCTGCTGGTCTTGGTGGCCATCTGCTACAGGCATTGGGGGCTTGTCCTCCTGCCAAGCATTTCTCTCTGTCCTCAGACTGCGCCCCCAGCTTCTAGTGGTGCACCAGTGGTGCACCTAGGCTGTACTCAGAGGGGAAGCTCCAAGTTCAACTTCGATCCCTTCCACCCCGATGGGCCAATGCTCTTGCCCTAATTGTCTTTGCAACTCTGGTCTTGCTGAGGATGCTTCAGTACCTGACCCCTCACCTTGGTCTGGTACCAGGACTCGGCCTCAGCCCGACTGCGGTTGGCGATGTCCTCGTATTGGGCCTTGACCTCAGAGATAATGCTGTCCAAGTCCAGGCAGCGGTTGTTGTCCATGGACAGCACCACGGACGTCTCAGAGATCTGGGCCTGCAGCTGAGCCAGCTCCTGAAACAGGCACCCGTGGGGGAGCTGAGAAGGGCGTGTGGTGCAAGCGGAGGACCTGTGACCTGCAGAGCAGATCCTGGCACTGTGGGCCAATAAAGACCCCAGGGTGGTCACTGAGCGTCCACCTTTACAGCCAATTCATCTCTCCAGGGCACAGGTCATGCCAACCAGAACTTTCTAGAACTAGTCGTCTGCCAAAGGAATGCACTTTGTTGTGGCCTGTCGGGTTCGTGATGCCTCATATGCTGAGAATCCTCTGCTCCTCACACCAAATAAAGTAATCCTCTGGGGAGAGGCAGGTGCCAAAGAAGGAGCCAGAAAGCTCTGTCTCTTCCCAAGACGGCTTCCCAACTTGGTGCCTCCCTGCTTCTTGGGGATGGGAAATGAAAATCTGTCCGACACAGCCGAATGGGCACCAGGCTGAAAAAGGCAGGCCTGGAGCTGTCCGGTGAGTCACGTAACACCTGAGTGTTAGAAGGGTTACCCTTGGCGCTACCCTCTGAGGGTCTTTGTGAAGATTGGACCCGTTAATGCAGGTATAAGATTGTTTTGTGAAACAGCAAGCCCATAATTAATTTCCGAATGATTACCTTCCAGAATCATCTAAAGCAGTGCCCCCTCCCCCCCCCACCACCAAAAATGTCATCTTGGACCAGCTACATCAATAGCACTTAGGACCTGGCGAGAAAGCCCAAATGTGTGCCTCACTTAGAACCAGGCAACCGGTCACTACTGGCCGAGGCCAGTGCATCTTGCTGCAGGTGCTCTAGGAAAAGGCCCAGGTAGATGCAGGCAGGACCAGAGGAGGGTGCTCTGGGAACCCATGTGTCTCCATGGCAGGAAGCTCTTTCTGTCCCAGACAACAGAACAATGTGCTGGGTCCAAATGGTCCCGGCTGGATTCCTCCCCTGCCCCAGGGACCCTCGCTTTCTCCCTTGGAGGGGAAGCAAACACCTGCCCCGAGAATTCCAACCCAGGAGCAGGGTGAGGAGCAGAGAGACCAGTTGACAGCCCTCCTCACCGCCTCGTAGAAAGCTCTCAGGAAGTTGATCTCGTCGGTCAGCGCGTCCACCTTGGCCTCCAGCTCCACCTTGTTCATGTAGGCAGCGTCCACGTCCTGGGGCACAGAACACACTGTTACCCTGAGTTTCACCCTTCCACATCCCTCCACTCAGGTGGTGAGTTAGGGGGTGAGGAGATTTCTTTATTCCCGGCAATGGAGTGGCACCTCAGTTGGAGCCATGGGTGAAGGTTTACTGCACCGTGGTGAGATCAACCCCTGTCCTGGGCTCTGGGGCCTCCACTGTCTCTGGGGAATCCAAGCCCCTCCTCCTCCCACTCTACAGCTTCCTCCCCTTCCTCCCCCTTGCCCCATTCTCTTCCTCAGCTTAGCTCCTTCTGCCCGTCCCCACGAAGCAGGACAGCCCAGAGCTCTGCAGAGTGACCCTGTCTTCTGACCCATCCTTCAAAGTCTAACCCAATGGAGACCTAGCTCAAGACAAAACCCACTTCTCTACCCATTTCTCTGACCAGGACCCCATGGGGTTGAGGGTTGGTATAAATTGATTCATAAGGGATCTTGGGTTTCTGGATCCCGGCTTACTACTGATGACTGGGGTAACCTGGGGCCACTTACTTAACCCCCCCGAGCCTCAGTTTTTCTCACTTTTAAAGCAAAACGTGCTCCGGAGATCAGTAGTGGTTGCACGCCTTAGTCAGGCGCTGGGATCATGGCAGTCAATTCTGCTTAAGGGACTGCTGGGCCAGGGGCCAGGGGCCAGGGAAGGTCCCTCTCTCCTCACCTTCTTGAGCACCACAAACTCGTTCTCTGCAGCTGTGCGCCTATTGATTTCTTCTTCGTACCTATGGGCAGAATTGAGAGTCATCTGGTGTGAGGAAGAAGGGGGTGAGGTTGGGACATTGGGGGTGCAGTTGAGCAGGTCTGGGACATGCTTTACCAACGAGCACAGCTCTCCCGTTATAAACAACTCACCCCCAAGCCTCCTGTCACGAAGCCCATTCCAACTCACTGTGACCCTCTACAGCAGCGGTTCTCAACCTGTGGGTCGAACCCCTTTGGGGGTTGAACGACCCTTTCACAGAGGTTGCCTAAAACCATTGGAAAACACTTGTTTCAGAAGGTCTTAGGAACCGGGACTCTGCTCCTCTATCCGTTTGTCTCCAGGCGAGTCCACCCACATGCAGATACGCCCACATCCGAGTATACGGCGGGAAGACTATTACCCAGGCTCACCATGCTTTAAGACAAATTTCATTTACTTGTTATTAGAAATAACTATTTCCCAATAGATAATTACATATTGTTTTGTGATTCATCACTATGCTTTCATGATGTTCAAGTTGTAACCGTGAAAATACATCCTGCCTATCCGATATTTATATGGCAATTCATAACAGTAGCAAAATGACAGTAATGAAGGAGCAACGGCAATAATGTTATGAGGAACTGTATTAAAGGGTCGAAGCATCAGGAAGGTTGAGAATCACTGCTCTACAGGCTTCTGAGGCTGTGAATCTTTACAGGACTAGACAGCCTTATCTTTTTCCTCTCAAGGAGCAGCTGGGTTTGACCCTCTGATCTTCTGGTTAGCTGCCCAGTGTTTACCCACAGAGTGCCACCAGAGCTGTTAAAAAACACTCTCCCACCCCTCTAATCCCCTTTCCAAAGACAACCAATCCCCCACCCCCCAAGGCACAGCCCCCATGACAGCAGTCCAACAGAACCAACCGCCCCTCGTTCTTCCTGCAGTTTCCTTTCCCATCTCTTGGGTCTTTACGGAGGCAGGTACCCATGCACGCTCCTCTTCTGAGCGTTGAAAAAGCTTTTGTGCTATTTTAATATCTTTCACGGTATTATCAAGAAGCCCAGTCCTACCCCAAACCTCCACATTCTTGGCCACCGTAGGGTCAATGCCGTTTCGGATGCCATGTCCTTGCCGTGTGTAGGCACTTATAGAGGGTACACGTTGCTTCTCCTCCTCCCTCCGACTGGCCTCCCTGAAGGGCCCGGGGTTGGGGCCTGGCTCTGGAGCAGCCTGAGCATCCACTTACTTGTTCTTGAAGTCCTCCACCACATCCTGCATGCTCTTCAGCTCTGTCTCCAGCCTGGTCCGCTCCCCACCCAGACCTTCCAGCTGACGCCTCAGGTTGTTGATGTAGGCTTCAAACATGGGCTCGATGTTGATCCTGGTGGTTTTCTGGTCCTGAAGGAGGCTCCATTTGGTCTCTAGGACCTTGTTCTGCTGCTCCAGGAACCGCACCTGCACCGGTCAGAGTTCAGAAAACATGAGGGCGTCCCAAAGGGTTCTGGGAAACAGGATCATCATCAATGCAGGGATCTCTGGCAGGACGTCCAAGTGACAGGCTCCTCCTCTTCCCCAACCTGGAAGGAGCCTGGGATGCAGAGAGCAAGCAAATGTTGGTGCAGTGGACTTGGGAGATGGGCGGTGGCCATGCTTAGAGGGGGGAGGGGCAGCAGGAGCCAGAGGGTCGGAACACCATTGGAAAGGCTCAGACTGGGCTGCTGCCTGGGATGTAGCTTCAGAAAAGAACACTCCAGCATGATGTGACTGGACACGTTTATTGTCTCATCAAGTAGTCAGCAGGTTCTGGATATAAAATCCAGTCTGCTCGCTTCTTTCTGACCTGGTTTCGCAGGGGAGCTGTGGGCCCAGCCCCGTTCAGGAAGTCTGGATTCAGCTGCCCACACACTCCGGGAATGCTAGAAGAGGTCACGTTGGAGTTTCAGTCGGAGGGTCTGGGGACAATCTCAGACACGTCCCTCACTAGCTGTGTGACCTTGAGCAAGTCCCGTCCTTTCTCTGCTTCTCAAGTCTGCTGGTCCTGCCTTGCTGATTGGAATGGTCGCTACTGCTGAGAGACACTCTTCGTTGTGAGTTAGGTGCAGGCTTACAGAGCAGATCGTCTGTTTTTTGTTCACTGACTCACCAGACCTCCCATCGTCTTGCCCGGTTTCCGTCGTGAACCCCTCCACCCCATCTCCCTCCAGTCAGATATTATCTTCCCCGCTACCCAGATGACATTGGTCTGTTCTCCGGCCTCTGATTTCTCCCTGCGTCTTTTGAGTTACGCTCATCTCCCCTTGGCAGGAGAAACAGCCCCGGGGAACAGGTAGAAGCTCTCCCTGGAACAAAGTCGCTGCATGGAGAACAGCTGGAATGGTTCGAGGTTGGACCAGCACCTCCCCCGACTTTGAAGATGGCAGCATGTGGACAGAGGCTTGTGACCGGTGAGCCGCAGGCCCCGGGTCTCCAGCCATCGGAGGAATGATGGACACGCAGGCTCCAAGTCCCCTCTCCCATCACACCCCCTCCATTCACATACTCCCCTTTGGGTGAACCAAGCAAAAGCAGGGGCTGCCTGGTTCCCTTCACAGCCCGGCTTCCTTGGTTGGCAGCTCACCTCATATGCTGGGGAGGCTGGGGTGCGGTCAAGTTTAAGAATCACTACCTGCATGACATGGTGTGGCCTGTGAGATTTGCCAAGAGGCCCGAGAGTTCGTGTGTCCAACCCAACGGAGGTCTAGGTGTTGGGCGCTTCGTCCGGGGGGTTGGGTTGGGTTCAGCTGTTTGCCTCTTAACTTACCACTCTTTCTGTAGATTCCAGGGGTGGAGCCTAAATTACCCTGAGCCTTGAATTGCTTCTTCCCGGTCCCAAACAACCAATGCAGCTGTGCGGTAGTGGTAGTGGTAGTACAACCGGGAATGCTTCCCAGAGCTGGGGAAATGCTTGGGATGCCAGGCCCCCGCAGGAGGGGAGATAGGGGACTGAAGACACTGCTCTCGTCTTTACAGCAAGCAAAGTAGCCCATGCTTTGAGTGATCCCTGTCCTGTCCACCTAGTCTTTGCCGTCTCCAAACTGTATTCCCAGCTCCGAGCTCCTTTCAGGAGAAACTAGCTCCTATGAACAGGGAAGGAAAGAGGGGTCCTGACCCACAGCCATGAATTGAATTCACAACATTTCCCTTTCTTCATTCTCCCCTCCCCCAAACACATCCCCTTCCTCCATTTACTTTGAGGCCAAAGAATTAGTGCCTTTGTGTGGGGGTAGGGTGGGAGTGGGGTGTCCAATAGCTCAAGTCTGGGGATCGATCGATTTTCCTGCTCCATCCAGTGGGAAGATGACTCCCCCTCCCCCCATTCACAGGCGGACCAGCTGCCTGGCTCTCACCTTGTCGATGAAGGAGGCGAACTTGTTGTTGAGCGTCTTGATCTGCTCCTTCTCTTCCTTCCGTACCCGCTGCAGAGAGGGGTCGATCTCCAGGTGGAGGGGTGTCAGCAGACTCTGGTTGACTGTGACCTCCTGGATGCCCCCAGCCCCGGATGCCATCCCACCTCCATATCCATAGCTACTGCAGGCTCCCCCGACTCTGTACCCAATGCCCCCGAGACCCAGCCCATAGCCAGCGCCCCCACAGATGGCCCGGCCGGACCGGTAACCTCCTCCGACGGAGATTCTCTTACCAGCCCCCAGGGCATGGAGGCTCCTGGTCCCAAAGCCACCACCGAGGTTGCCCCCAAAACACTTCCCGCCCTGGGACACAGAGACGGAGCTAAAGCTGGTCCTGCAGCCCGGGAGGAGGTTGGCGGAGGAAGCGCTGAAATTCCGGGTGCCCCCTGACTTGATGGTGACGGAGGATCGCTGGGTCATGGTGGGAGCCGGTACCCGAGGGTCAGAAGAGTGAGGCTGTCCAGGGAATGAGGATCCTTCGAGGCTACCTTCCTCAAACCCTCCTGGGCTTTTATCCCTTTCAAGCACTGGGCTTGGCTGGAGAAGATCAAAGCCCACTTTGTTGAGTTCATCCCCATGGCATGTCTGGCCACGGTCCATCTTCCTGCCCCCTAATCGCCCTGGAGAACACCCTGCCCAGGGCAGGACCAGGCCTGGAGAAGACCGGGGTTCCTGAACCCCACCCCACCCCTGCCTTCCCAGGTTGTTGGTCTTGTGCCCCTGACACCACCATCACCACCTCTCACCTGCTCCTCCCCTCTCCTTCCCAGGTCTGGCCCCGGGAGCTTAAACACGCCACCACGCTCTTCCATCCTGGTCACTTAGAATCACAGCGACCATCACAATGCACCCAACGCGTGCCAGGCCATGTAGCGGGCACACCGCCTGAAGCATTGTTTCATTTAATTCCCACAATAGCCCTGTGAGTTTGGTGATAGAAATGCTAACCGTCACCAAGGTTTACTGAGCATCTACTGTGGGGAGGTGCTCCCAATGCCCCAGGTGGGTCCTTGAAAGGTTTATGCTTGACTGCTACTCTGAAGGTGGGTGGTTCGAGCCCACCCAGAGTGTGAGACTGCAGAAGAAAAGACCTGCCCACCCACCCCCACCCCACCCCCGATGCTAAGGGTTGTACAACTCTCCTTGATATGACTGAGCTGTCACGTCGGAGTGGCATGTGGATCGTGTCCCACTAAAACGGCTTGAAGAACTAAATCAAACAGTTTTACAGGAAGACAAGACACCCTCCCCCCCAGCAGTGCTACTCCTGGGGTCACCATGAGTTAGGACCTGCTGCCCCAAGGGGTCAATGATGTCACTGGGGTTGGGGGAGGCTGCTTTTCATCTGCACCCACCACCTTGGGCAGCTCTTATTGCAATTGAGGCTCAGGGCCAGTGCATGTTGGGGTAGTCATCAGAACACAGGTGGTCAGACTCCAGGTCACATGTTCTGAGCCACTGCAGGAGTCACAGGAGGGCACAGCAGGCTCTGCAGGAAGAGGCGACTTGTCCAAGGATCCCCCCAACTGGTGAGACTCCTGCCCCCAACCCCTCCTGTCTTGACCTGCCCTCCACAGTGGGGCTGGGGACACCTAACATGACCCTGACTGGCCTCCCCATCTGGCTACCTTCTCCCTCCCAACCATGCGCAACGCCAGCCCCTTGGTCTCACACGCATCTGTCTCTTCCTCATCCCTGGTGAGGTCCTTCCCTGGAAGCTTGTTTTCCACAGTTCCTTCAGTCCTGAGCTTGCGCCCGATTGCTGACCGCACCCCCTTCCTGGCCCACAACAATGGAGGCCCCTTTGGCTCAGGCCTGATGAGAGGGGTCCCAGGGGCTTGCAAACTCAGGAATGTGGGAGCTTGCAGGATGTCTCTCGCTGCCCTCTGCAATTATGGGCCTAAACAGCTGGCTTCTTGCTCTGTGCCAGCCTCGCCCCCAGGGCTGACTTTTAACTCCCGCTGCTGCTCCCTCCGTGTGGCCTGTTATTTCTCTGCTCTGCAAGTCTGAAGCTGCCAGGGAACAATTGAGCCCCTTTGCCGGGCGGAGGGCTGGGCTGCCCACCCTGAGTCAGTGTCCCCGGAACAGGCTGGCATAGGGAGGGACAGAGGTTGCCGAGGGAGAGGCTGGGCGGGGCTTCTGCCCAAGGGCCCGTGCTTCCCAAAGAGGGAGGAGCAGTGGGACTAATGGACACAGTCAAGCAGAGGCTGGCTGGCTAGCTGCCCTTCTTGTATTTCCCTGGGTTTCTGCGTGGGCTCTGAGGAGGTGAGGGGGCAGGTCAGATATGTTCTGAGCTCTCCTTGTTGTGACGCCCTGTCCTGGGGGAAGGCCAGGCCGAGGAGAATCGCTCCGTGTTCCACACTGTTCCAAACAGAGGGCTGGCGCCCAAACACATTACACATGCTTTTTAATAGACACATTCCAGGGAGGGGACAGAGGGAGCACTCCCTCCCAGGAGGCAGCTTATAAACACCGCGAGACAGTCCGGCTGATGGCACTGCGTCCAGTGGCCCTTGTCTCCACATCTGGAGGAGGGTGGGCCTGAGGGAGTCGTTGCCAGACGGTCTTGCCTGGTTGCAAGATCCGCTGATGTGACTCTTGCAAGAGAGAAGACATTGTGTGTCTAGAACAGAGAGGGGCCGTGGGTGTTCCTTAGGCTGGCGGGGGTGAAGAGACCAGGGAACGGGCTTGGCCGTCCGGAAGCACTGGCGGGCCTCTGAAGGAAAGAGGGGGGGAGGGTGCCGATGCCCAGGGCGCGGCGAGGCGGTGGGTGGCCGCACTCAGTGTTTGTAGCTCTTCCGGCTGGAGGATGTGGTGGAGACAAACTTGACACTGGAGCCGAGGCCCCCTAGGGCCCGGCCGCTGCAGGCACTGAGGCCAGGGCCCCCGAGCCCTGAGCCCAGGCTGTGCCCGCCGCTGGTGGTGAAAGAGTAGCCGCTGCTGCCACCAAGACCCAGGTTCCCACCTCCAAGGCCGCCACCACTGCCGTAGCCACTGGAAACAGTGTTGGTGACCACAGCTGCCGGGAGAGAGCAGACAGCGGTGTCAGGATCAAGGGCCAGAGAGCAGACACCAGGGAGTGTCAGGGCCTAGGCTCCGAAGTCCTTAGAATGGGGTGGGGGGTCTCATCAGGTAGCTGTGGGTTGTCTTCCAGTTTCCCCTCCCACTCAGTGAGCTCACCAACTTATGCCATTTGCCCCCGTGTCATACCACCGCCGGGCATTTTCCCAGGCTCAATGGTGTCTGCTGCTCAGCACTTTGGTCCCCTTGCTGGAGGGGGTCTCTCCTCCTGGAAGCTGTTCCAGCCCATCTGCTCTCCAGGCCCCCACATGACCCTACCCCCACTCTTCCCTGTGGCTTCCTCCTTCCCTCCCTCCTTCCCTGGCTCCCTTCCTCCTGTCTTCTCTAGGCTGGGCTCTGGAGTTCCCTTTCATTCTGGGGATTTTTGGGGGTGGGAGGCACCTGGGCTTTTTCCATCAGGTACCCAAACCCACAAGGGCTGAACCTCTGGATCTTTGGATAGACTAACGGATAGATCGAGCCCTGCCTGGTCCATTCCTGTGGTCTCTCTCCACATGTTCTGTGCCGGAGGCAGAGCCAGCCATTGCCTTCAACGTTCTAGGACCTTACTTTGAGTTCACCAGAAGGAACATCAGAATTAAAAAGTGAACGCTTGTGTGTTTTTTCATCAAAAGGAAGCCTTGGCGGTGAACCTATCCAGTCCACAGATGAGGCCCGAGGGTCTTCTGGAACAACTAGACGCAGGCATCAGGGACGGAGACCAATTTGTGGTTCAGAGGGCTCTGCCTCCAGAAAGACCGCCCAATAGACCTCATGCTTGGATGACTCCTTTTCCATCCAGAAGCCCCAACTCACGTGGAGCGTGTTGGCTGGGAAAGGCATTTCTGTCGGCCTCGAGGCCAGCACTGACCCTGCTGGCACTGACCTACAGCAATTTGCTGGCCCTCAGCCCTGCCTCTTCCATCTTGGAGTTGCTGACACCCCCCACCCCCACCCCTGCTCTTGCCTCCTTTGATGGGGCCCCTGCCGCCTTGGAACCCTGGGGTGCTGTGACTATGAATTGGGCTGCCATCTGCATGGTTGGCAGTTTGAAGCCACCAGCAGCTTCTCTGGGAAAAGTCTGGGCTTTCTCCTTCCACGGTCAGTCTCCGAGAACCACAGGGGTCGCTGTGGCTCAGCCCTGACTCAAGGGCAGTGAAGTTTTTTATTAACTTGCTTCCTTGAAAAGCCATGCTGGCTCTCTGCAGTGGCACTCTGCAGAGGTGAGCCCAGCAGGGGGGCTTCTCCTTCATTCTTCTCTGGGGGGCAGTGCCTGGTCGGCCATGCTCCGTGTCCAGTCAGAAGGCTCCCTCCTTTGGCAACTCCTGTCTGCACCAAACGCTCCTCGCTGAGCTGGCCTTGGAAGCCCAGCAAGAAAGGCTTGGAACCCTGGGCGGTGGGAGGCCTGGTCCCTGGGTGTCTTGTAAACCCATGCAGGGCGATTGGATTAGGCAGACCTCCCCATGCCTGCTTCTGTCGTGTCCTCTCTCTTGCAAAGAGGTAAGAAACACTCCCTCCTCCTATAGCTCTCTCTTTTAATGGACTCGAAGCTTCGACCCTTCTCAAAAGGACCCTGTCTCTGGGGTCTCCTTGCATGCTTCTTGCTCCTCATCACCTCCCCAACCCCACCACCACCCACACGCTCTCCAAACGACCCACACAGGATTTTCATACTCACATATGTTAACGGGAGAAACGCCTTCTCCACTCAACCTGATGGGGAGGAGGGAGAAGAGGAGTCATTATCAGGCCGAGTAGATTAGGGGAATTTGAAATGGCATTTTGCTAATGGTCTCAGAACAACCTCCGTGCATTTTAAAAGGCGTTTGAATTCTTTTGCTGCAGCTGTAGTGCAGATTGAAGCTATTTAAGTACCAGTAGTAGCAAAAATAATAATCTAATGAATAAAATAGCACGGAGTTTGAGGGACATGGGAATTAAACCTGTCATCTCAGATGGCATTTTTGCATAAACTACTTAGACAGCTTAAGGCAATTAAAACTAACCATACACTGTCACCCATTGGAAACCTAGAGCTGGCCAAACATCCAGAAGGTTCCCCTCTCAACAATGGGCCACTGTCATGCACTGAGCCAGTACTGAGGTGATTATAGGTGTGGGGAGGGTGTCTGATTCAGAAAACAACAATAGCCATAATTAGTCTATTATTATCTTTGCTGCTTGAGAGCAATTTGGCCTGAGTATCTTGAGCACTTACCTGGCATTCGTCCATAAACACATACTTAGACTATTAAAAAGAACTAACATTGATCGAGTACCGGTTACTTAGATTATGTCACTTAGTCCTTTCAACAACCCGCCACCCCCTCACTGGCGTCCAGTGGATCCCCATTCACAGCCACCCCGTAGGACAGAGGAGAACTAAATGCCCCTGTGAGTTTCCAAGACTCTGAACTCTACTGGAACAGAAAGCCTCATCTTTCTCTGGAGGAGTGGCTGGTGGTTTGGAACTGCTGACCTTGCAGTTAGCTGCCCAACTCGTACCCCATTATGCCACCAGGGCTCCTTACAACCCCATGTGATAGGTACTATTTGCTCAATTTTTGAGATGGAGAAATCAGAGCTCAGAGCGGTCATCCCGCTTGCTCACAGGGACAAGACTAGGTTCGAAGCCAGCTTCATTTGATTCCAAGTCTGTGTCTTTGATCTCTAAACGGAAGATGGTTAACACACATCGAGCTCTTGTTTCGTGCCATTTTAAGAACCCTGGTAGCGTAGTAGTTATGAGTTGGGGTGCTAACAGCAGGGTGAGCAGTTCAAAACCAACAGCCACGTGGAGAGAGAAAGACCGGGCCATCGACTCCAGAAAAGAGTTTCCGCCTCAGAGACGCAGGGGCAGGACTACCCTGTCCTATAGCGTCACTGTGAGTCGGCATCGACTCCACTGCAGTGACTTTGGTCGATATTGGTTTGGGAGAGCTTCTGTGAATTTCAAGGTCTTTCACTTTTCCCACTATTGTGAACCTCCTTTTATAGAGAAGGTAAGTGATTTGCGTGCGGTTCTGCAGCTGGTAACTGGCAGAGCACACAGCTCATGCTGACCTTTGGGGATCCTGTGATCTAGCCTCCTCACACCATCACTGAAAAACGGATGTCCAGAGAGAGGGATACTGGCTTTCTTGGGTCAGGTAGCTAGTTAGAGGCAGAGCAATAAACTGGAAACTGGAGCAGTTTACTTTCAGCTTAGAGCCTTCTAGGCCCCTTTTCCAGACCTATCAGGTAACCGACTTTCTCCTTTGATAGATTGGACCACTGAGACACCATCAGATCCTAGATTTCTATACGGTGCCCATGCACTTCAAATACAGGGATTTGTAATGATTTACTGCCTCAGTATATCACACTCTTTGTCACCGCCCAGTTCGATCTGTACTTTTCTCCCCTTTCTTTCCTACAGAAGCCTCAGTGCCTGGGAAGGCCCCGCAGGGTGAGCTCAACTTGCTTTGAGGCTGGGGTTAGTGCACCTGCCCCCACCTGCACTCCTCGCCCTCCAGCAGCTTCCTGTAGGTGGCAATCTCCACGTCCAGGGCCAGCTTGACGTTCATCAGCTCCTGGTACTCCCGCAGCAGCCGGGCCATGTCCTGCTTGGCCTTCTGCAGGGCGTCCTCCAGCTCCACCAGCTTGGCTCGGGCATCCTTGAGGGCCAGCTCCCCACGCTGCTCCGCATCGGCGATGGCTGTCTGCAGGTTGGCACACTGCAAGGGCAGGAGGCGGAGATGGGGCCCAACTGGGTGTTTCTCTGACCGTTCCCAGAGGTCTGGGGCTAAGCGCTATGCACGGAAGGCTGGCTCAGAAGGAGTGGGTGTGCGGCCAGCCCTTGGCTCGGCCAAAGCTTTACCTGCTTCTTGACGCTGTCGATCTCAGCTCTCAGCCGCTGGATCATCCGGTTCATCTCAGAGATCTCCTGCTTGGTGTTGCGAAGGTCGTCACCATGCCTGCCCGCCGTGACCTGCAGCTCCTCGTACTGAGAGAAGTAGAGTGGACTCAGTGGCTGAGTCAAACGCCCTGCGTGGTGCTCCCTGCTGTGCTCCCACAGCAGGCCATCCCCCAGCCCCTCCTTCACTGACTCCTAGTGATGCTCTGTGGATACCAGGATGAACAAAGTGGGCCCCCTGCCCCCTGAAGTTCACAGTTCATCGGGAGAGATGCACGAACCAGAGATGCATGGTCTTCCATCTGTAGTTCTAAATGGGGGAAACGAACGGGACCCTGGGAGAATGTGGAGGAACCTGGTCTAGATTTGGGGAGCTGTCTGGAGAGGGAAATACCTGAGCTGTGCTCTGCAGGATGGAAAGAACAGCTTAAGCAACAGGTGTTAGTGGAGGGAGTGATGGAGGTGGGGAAGTGGGGGGAACAAGGAGGAGGGACAGTCTGTGTGAAGACCCTGGCCAGGAAGGGTCCAGGTGAGTTCCAAGGAGAAAGTGACTTTGTCACTGTCCATGGGGAGCCCTTGGTTGGGTGGCACGTATCCCAACCATCAACAACCATGACTTTTGGTGGGCCTCCAAACCCCAGATCTGGGGAGAGGGAGAAGTAGCGCGGAGGATGTAGAAGACGCCTGGTCAAAGTCTGGGAGAAAGAATCCCTACCTTACTCCCCGCCTATTGGTGCTTCTCCAGGACTCCGCAGTACAGGAGAAATGCATGCGCCTGTCCCCTCCAGCTGAGGAAGGAGCCCTTGCTTGGACAAAGACCTGCCCCATTTTGTAAGTGCTGAATAGCACAGCTTCCTCTGCCCACACACACAATTCAAGGGCACAACAGCCACAACCACACCAGGAATTGTTTGGTGTTAATTTAAGCCACTCCCCCTTGGGGTGAAGGGTCCTGCCCCCCTTCTCACTGACAAGGGCCTGCTTCCGCAGTGTGGAGCCCAAACACCTGATGCCTCCCTTCTTCTCTGCCGCACTGCCGACCCAAAGGGACAAATACAATGGGTGGAGCAGTGGTTCTCCACCTTCCTCAGGCTGCGACCCTTTCACACAGCTCCTCATGGTGTGGTGACCCCCCAACCATAACATTATTTTCATTGCTGCTTCATCACTGTCATTTTGCTACTGTGATGAATTGCCATGTGAATATCTGATAGGCAGGATGTGTTTTCATTGTTACAAATGGAACATAATTAAAACATACTGATTAGTCACAAAATAATATGTAATTATATATTGTGAAATATTCATGTGTTTTCTGATGGTCTTAGGAGACCCCTGTGAAAGGGTCATTCGACCCCCAAAGGGGTTGCAACCCACAGGTTGAGAACCCCTGGGCTAGCGAAAGGCAAGGCAAAGGGGCTGCTTGTGGACAAGCAGCTGTCCTGTGAGGGGTCTGGATTTGGCAGAAAGCATCGTATCTGGCTGCACTCACCAGTCGACACCCCCTCCAGAGCCAGACCGCCCTCTGGCCAGCCGAGCCTTGGTTCAGTAACTCTCCATGACCATCTCAAGTCCCTGGCTCTCTTGCTTGGCCAAGTGCCCAACCCGGCCTTCCGGCCCCACCGAGCTGCTTGCTCAGCATCCAGTACCTCGACCGCCTTAGCAACCTCCAGTCCCTCACTGCATCCAATGGAACTGGAATCCCACCTCTTCCTGGCATCTTTTGATTCTTGTTACTTTACCCCCTCCCGGGATTGCCCATCTGCTTCTTGCTTCCTCTGTCTGCAGTGTATTCACACACAACCCTGAAGCCCTGCTGGCCATGTAATCAGAGCTCAGTTAACACCC